ATAAGATTAACTGTCCAGAAGATTGAATGGACCAATGTTATGTGAGCATGGATTTTCAGGAAAGGTAGTGGCAGTAGAACTGGGTATGGTAGTCATGGTTGTGGAGGGGCATTTACAACTTTCTATAATGGAAAATATCTGCATTTTATAAATTAGTTTTGGTATGGTAGGTCCACAGATTTACTTCAAGAAACCAATGAGCTAAACAACAGTCCTGATATTCCTCCTTATTTTTATTTAGGCTGCTTATTGTTTGAGAAAGTATAACTTCCAAACTGTCCAGCAGGATTCTTAGTAGTGGTCTGACTCCCATGGGTCACTTTCCACTGAAAACTTTTAACCCAAAGAGACAGAGAAGCAGAATTGTACAAAATCATTTATTATGAACGTTTTTTAGACATATGAAAGTTTTTTAGACGTTGCTCATTTTGCTTTTATTTCTATTGATATAATTGACACTAGAGCTTTAGGTCAAAAAAAATTTATAATGCATTGCAAAGTTGTTACTGTGTTATTCCTGGGAGCTCTCACCAAAAGACGATAGTAGCTGAAGCAATATTGCATCAAATGTTAGTGAGACATAGGCCAATGGAGAAGACTACAAAGACAGTGCATTCTGCCAGGTAGATCAGTGTGATTTCTTGAGTTTCTATTTTCTTCCTTGGGTGTGACATTGATTTGAACTCAAAAGTTCTCTCCACAGCCCCTCATAGAGAGAGAATCTGAAAATAAATTCTTTCTCCATTTAAAAGAGAAAATCTATTATCCTACTCTTAGTTTCTGTAGTAGATGATGGAATATTGTGCTTCAATGTAATATCATAAATCATACGTACATATATAAATAATAATAAATGTAATGAAAATAATACCAGTAATAAGAGTAAGCATTTATTGAGCATTTTCTATGTGCNGGCAAATATTAAATAAGATCAGGAAAATGAGTTGGAACCAGCAGTGTTTGTGAACAAATTTTAGACCCCAGAGTCTTACACAGTTCTGGCTGTGGGCCTTCTAGGGATTGTATGGGAATGAGAAACATAATCAGTTATAAGATTAACTGTCCAGAAGATTGAATGGACCAATGTTATGTGAGCATGGATTTTCAGGAAAGGTAGTGGCAGTAGAACTGGGTATGGTAGTCATGGTTGTGGAGGGGCATTTACAACTTTCTATAATGGAAAATATCTGCATTTTATAAATTAGTTTTGGTATGGTAGGTCCACAGATTTACTTCAAGAAACCAGTGAGCTAAACAACAGTCCTGATATTCCTCCTTTTTTTATTTAGGCTGCTTATTGTTTGAAAAAGCAGAGCTTCCAAACTGTCCAGCAGGATTCTTAGTAGTGGTCTGACTCCCATGGGTCACTTTCCACTGAAAACTTTTAACCCAAAGAGACAGAGAAGCAGAATTGTACAAAATCATTTATTATGAACGTTTTTTAGACATTGCTCATTTTGCTTTTATTTCTATTGATATAATTGACACTAGAGCTTTAGGTCAAAAAAATTTTATAATGCATTGCAAAGTTGTTACTGTGTTATTCCTGGGAGCTCTCACCAAAAGACGATAGTAGCTGAAGCAATATTGCCTCAAATGTTAGTGAGACATAGGCCAATGGAGAAGACTACAAAGACAGTGCATTCTGCCAGGTAGATCAGTGTGATTTCTTGAGTTTCTATTTTCTTCCTTGGGTGTGACATTGATTTGAACTCAAAAGTTCTCTCCACAGCCCCTCATAGAGAGAGAATCTGAAAATAAATTCTTTCTCCATTTAAAAGAGAAAATCTATTATCCTACTCTTAGTTTCTGTAGTAGATGATGGAATATTGTGCTTCAATGTAATATCATAAATCATACGTACATATATAAATAATAAGAAATGTAATGAAAATAATACCAGTAATAAGAGTAAGCATTTATTGAGCATTTTCTATGTGCNAAATGTAATGAAAATAATACCAGTAATAAGAGTAAGCATTTATTGAGCATTTTCTATGTGCCAGACACTGTATTAAACATTTTACCTGCTTTATCTCATTTAAGTTTGACAACCACCCAATGAGATAAGTGCTTGTATTTTATCCATTTTTTCTGATGAAGAAAAGTATGGCATAAAGAAGGTAAGCAATTTGCCTAAGGTCATATGGTTAGAAAGGAACAGGTAAGAGAATCAGACTCAGTTCCCAATCTCATTTCAGATGATATAGAAATTTGTTAATCAGCATGTTGTATTCTGGCTTCTCATTCTTGAGTGGCTGATAAAATTTCTAAGGGGAATAGGCTTGACACTGAAAGAAAGGAGGGAAAAGGCCATGGGGAACATAAGAAGCTATGAAAAGATGAACTTACTGGGCTTATTTTAATGTAGCTTTTTTGGGG